AGACTGCTCCAAGGGCAACTGAACATTTGCTGAGCTTAAAAAAAAAACAACAAAAAAACCACCTTTCTAGGGGTAATGACAGAAAACAGGATCAAGTGGCCACATACCTCTTTTGGTTCTTCCAAAGGTCCTCATGCTGAGAATTTGTCCAGTTGGTGCATGGCAGCAGGTAAAACTAGCCAGAGGCTCTGGAAGTGTGTGAGGTCACTGAGGTACATATGGCTGTCTAGGCCATATGACTGTTGGCCATTAGGCAAAATGGATGAGCAGTTCCTGGGCTGGTCTGGGTTGGCTGATGGAAGTGTCCTAGGGCAGTGGGGACCTCCAATGTTCTCAGGATATTCTTTTTTTTTTTAATACTCTCACTCTGTTTTTTAATAAGATTTTATGTATTTATTTGGCAGAGAGAGAAAGCAAGAGCAGAGAGGAGGGGGAGAGGGAGAGGGAGAAGCAGACTCAATGCTGAATGGGAAGTTCAACTTGATGCTCAATCCCAGGACCCTGAGATTATGACTTGAGCCAAAGACAGATGCTTAACCGACTGAGCCACCCAGGTGTCCAGTCCTCAGCATCTTCTGCTTTCACTTAGCCCTACTTGGAGTGAATAATCCAATGAGGCCACTCTACCTCTGGACATTACATCGCATTCCAAGCAGGAAAGAGTGAAATGCAGATAGGCAGAGGTCAGCCAAGTTTGTCCTTTTAGAAAAAAATTAGTAAAACAATAGTTTTTCCAGAATTTTTTTACGTAATATATTTCCACCAGAGTTAGATTAAAAGGCTATTACTAACAGCAATGGGGTCTTGGTAGATTACTGTTTTTAGATGTCTTGAGCAAAATCAAGTTTCAGTTAGTAAGGTAGAAGGGGAGAATGAATGTTGGATAAAACAACTAGCTGTGCTCAGTACAGTGGAGCCACTGAGGGGCTGGTTCTCACACAATCAAGTTCAGAAATTTTAATAGCTTTGCTAACAGAGGCCCTTCTCTAGGGAATGGACTTGGAACTAACAAGCTTGCCAGAAAAATAATTATAAAGTAATAAATTGGTATAATACTTTATCACCAAGAAATTCAACAGCCAATGACTGGGAATCCTTATGTCCACTGCTCAGGACAGTTTCTTCTGCAGAAAAATCTTCCTGGGGAGCCATATACTGCTCAGAAGGCAGCTCTCTAGGGAGTCTGGTGCAGTTTTCAGGTCAGGCTGCCTGAGCCTTCCCCAGCTCCTTGGAGACCCAGCCACCAAAGTAGCAAGGCTACTACACATGTCCCTGTCAAGATTACCTCTGGGCTGGGGAACTAGAGACATTCTTGCTCTTTGGCATAGTTCTGTTCAACACACATGTACTAAGTGCCTACCATGGGCCAGCCCTGCACTAGGGATCAGAGCAGTGGAAATGCATGAGGTATAATCCCTGCCCTTGAGAAGCTCTTAGTTCAGAGGATGAGGGGGACCCCATTTCCAAGACTTCATGGAGGGAGGACACTACTTCTTTGTGAATGCTTTATTCCTTCTGTCTTGACTGACTTGGTCATCTTGGTGTATTCGTGTGTGTGTGTGTGTGTGTGTGTGTGTGTGTATGCATGCACATACAACTTTTCTTACCTTAAACATAAAACCTAATTAAAAAAAGCCTCTCTCTTCCTTTATCTCCTATAGAATCATTGTTCCTAAAGGAATGTCTAGACTCTTGTCTTGGTTTCTCATGTCCCACTTTCTTTTTGACCCACTGCATTGCCCATCCATCCCTACCACTGCAATGAGACCACTTTGGCCAGTCCTACCAATGACCTATGAGTGACCACATTTAATGGATCTCTGGATTTGACTTCCTTGACCGCTGTCTTAAGTCAGATTTCTTAGAAGTGGAGCCTGACATGGGATTCATGTGCTTGTGATTTTTAGGGGGTGTTCTGTCAGGGGAGCCCTGTAGGAGAGTAGAGGAAGGATAAGAGGCAGAGGAAGGAACTGAGCCAGGTTGAGGTTTCAGATGAAGTCTAGCCATACCCTGATCCAGCAGAGAGCTCGGTAGTGCAAACTGTACCTCAGAATCTGTCCTCCCTTGAAGCAAAGGAGTAGGCTTTGGTAACTCTGCACTAGGTTGGTCATTGACCCTGGGCACCTGGGGCCAGAGGTGGCATTCTGCATAACTCTCTGGCATTCACAGAAGAGGCAGTTTTATACTCAAAGGAATGTCTCCAGAGAAGGGTGCAGACTAGTTAGCAGCAAACCGATAGCTGCTGGGTACCTGCAAACCAAATCAAACCAGTAAAAGGAACTATGGGGCATTTGAGTAGGGCACCAACAGTATCTGCATAACCTCACTGCTGCAGTTAGAGAAAGCAGGCCATTTCTCTCCTCTCCTGGTTTTATCACACCATCTCTCCTGGTTTTTACTGGAGGGAATACCAACCACCCCAAATTACTGAAGCAACTGACATCCTAGCAGCAACTACAATGTAATGTATCGGGTCTTAGGACCCTTATGCTCACTACAGCTCCCAAGAGAGAACTGATGACAAGAATCCTAGGGATGGCATCACAGTCTCATTGGCTATGGCATCTGTGTCCCCAGTGACCACAACTCTGTTGATTCTAGGACAACTCAAGTCTTCTCTCAGCGAATACGTGGCCAGGCTGGAGGGGGTGAAGTTGCTCAGGAGCAACAAAAGGCTGGGTGCCATCAGGGCCCGGATGTTGGGGGCCACCAGGGCCACCGGGGATGTGCTGGTCTTCATGGATTCCCACTGTGAGTGCCACCCAGGCTGGCTGGAGCCCCTCCTCAGCAGAATAGCTGGTGACAGGTAACTTTGCCCTTGGGGTCTGGGGAGCAGAGGTGGGACTGGAAGAAATAGTTTACAGCCTCAGCCACTCACAGAACATCTATACACCATTGAAAAAGGCCCCAAGTCTCTACCATTAGAGAGCAACATGTTTCTTTGTTGTTTTTTTTCAGATGTTTGAAGTTGAGCCTTTTCTAAAGCATAGAGAGGTAATGTTGGAAGGAAGTTAGAGGTCCTCCAGTCCATCTGCCTTGTTCTCTAGATTAAAAAACAAACAAACAAAAACAAAACAAACAAAACAAAACACTGGGTGTTGGAGGTAAGCTACTATTAAGTTGCAAATACTCCTGGATAGGGTAACATTTTTCTATAGTTATCACTCTCTTTACTGCCTAAGTCAGCAATTTGTTTAAAAAGATTTTATTTATTTATCCATAAGAGACACAGAGAGAGGCAGAGACATAGGCAGAGGGAGAAGCAGACTCCCTGCAGGAAGCCTGATGCGGGACTCCATCCCAGGACCCCGAGATCATGCCCTGAGCCAAAGGTAGACGCTCAACCACTGAGCCACCCAGGTGCCCCTTAAGTCAGCAATTTTAATCAAGATTGTAATATAACCTGAGAAAAAGTCTTTATATTTTGCTCATAGGTACTTACCCTTAAACAGAAAGCACTAGACTCTGTGATTGCTAAACTTCCATCAAAAACCAGCATTGGTTTTCTGGATGAGGGGTCTCTAATGTTATAAACCAATGTCTCAGGAATGTGAGATCGTAGAGAACTGCATTACACACCCCTTAGTCAAACATTCAAAATTTTTCTTTGACCATTTCTCTGTTCTTCTTCCCCTATCCTGCTGTCATTTGCTCCCCATTTCTTTGTTCTCCTCATACAGTTCCTAAACATGTCCTGTCGACTATTTTCCTCAATCTGAATATCCCACAAAGGAAAAGCAAAACCTGGTGGCTAGCCCACCTGACCCCCTCAGGCATACCCTTGGGGTTTGCAGAGGCGTATTACACGGTAGGAACTCAACAAACTATCACTTCTGATGATGCCCATCCAGATAAGGCTGATGCCAGAACCAAGCCTTATGACTCCTATTCTTACACTCCTCCCCACGGTAAACATTCACTGTCTCCTTTGATGTTGGGGGTGACAACATATAGGAAAGACATTTCTGGATGAGGAGATAGAAGAATATGCTGGTAGAATTAGCATTATCCACTAGATAGAGGAGGTTGCAAGCAATACAACGTAAATTGTTAACAGTCCAGCAATTCCTTTTTAGTAAAGAACAATCAGAGCTCAAATGAAATCAAGGATTAGTTTTGCCCAGTACTGTGACACAGATTACTGCCCACTCCTGGCTATTATCTCAGAAGAGAAGGAGACATGTATAAATCCAGCACCAGGACTGGGACAAGCAAACATGCAAACCCTACAAACTGCCATCTTGGATTCCGTCTTCAAAGTCACAATGACTGTGGCGTGGGAGCTAAAGTTGATCCCGCCTATTCCCCATCTAATTCCCATCCCTGTGTCATAGACAGGTGGCTTTCGGAGGGACCTGTAAGATCACCTAGTCCTATCTCATGATTTCACTCCTGAAAAAAAACTGAGTTCCAGAGAGGGCAAGGAGACCCCTCAGGGTCACTCAGCCACTCAATAACTAGGCTATTTTCTATGTTTCTTTAATGCAGATGTTTAGGAACTCAAGAATTGATATCAGTAAGCCTTATGTATGTATGACTGTTGTAGAGTGTTTTCATATAATTCTTCAATGACCCCCGCCTGTGAGATGCCTCAGGCAAGTACTTCTGCTTTGGTTTCACAGGGTTAGTGGGGCTCCACGGGGTGAAATGATCTGTGGGGGCACACAGAGACTTTACAGCTGAGTCAGGTGTTCTAATGCTCGGTCTCCTGCTCTTTTTGTTGTCTAAGAATTATTTTAAGAATTGGAGGAGCTGATGAGGGAGTGATATTTACTCATCCCCCTCCCCACCCTGGTTGTGAGACATGTGTTAAAACATTGATTAGAATGAGGCCTTCATGTCTGCTTCTCACATTGGTGCCATTTTCGCAGATCTGGAGATTTCTCACTCTAGGCTGAGAGAGGAAGACTTGGCAATACCTCAGTGTCCTCAGCTATAAATAAAATGGGGCTCCCTGAGAAACCTTCCACAGTTAAGAGGTGGGTCTGTGAAATTTTCATTTCCTGGGCTCTTCCCTTCCTCTCTTTATCAAATGTCTCCCCTCTCCCTCTCCTTCCCTTTCATTCTTCCTCTCTCCCTCCCTCCCCCTCTGTTTTTCTCTCTCTCTCTCTCTGTCTCTCTCTCTCTCACACACACACACACACACACACACACACACACACACGTGCACACACATGGGCCTCTGGTCTTAGACCCATTCTCGTTTGGCTTCCTCTTCAGGTCCCCTCTCTCCTATGGTTTAACTATCTTTTTGTCATCCCATGCCTCATTCATAGCTTCCTGTGTACCCTGTTTTCTTTGGGACCTAATGTTCAGCTTACAGGCCTTTGCAGGTGAGGGTCTGAAAGAAAAGTCAGTTCTCATCCCTTTCCATTACACACAGTGATGCTCTGAAAGCTGTGGCTGGCGGGGGAGTGCCCCCTATTAAGGTTTGCTTAGTCCTACAGCAATTTCGCTCAAGTGTTTCCTCCAGCCTCCCATGGCAGCTCACCTCATGTAAAGCAAAGCTGTAGAAGTCATTGGGCACAGCTTCTAATAGCTGCTACTCTTCAGGAGAAGAAAGGGGTCCCAGCTGCCCCTGATGCTCATGGCAAGACATTTCTGTCACCAGGTGAGGACCTATTGTGCAGAAGATAGACAAAGGTCTTTAAGAATTTTCATTAAAAAGGTGGAATGGAATGATGAGTAACAGGTAATAAGCCACAAATCAGTTATGTCAAAGAGTCATAACTTCCTCAACATCCTATTCAGAGGGTTCCAGGCCTAGTTCCTAGCCCTGGTTCCCTGCCCCTACCCACAGAACAGGTCTATAGAGAGCCATATGGCAACTTTGTAAGAATTGGTAAAAGGAATCCCTTCTTCATTACCCTTTACTCTCATTTCTCAGAACATGTGTCATAATACATTCATTTTTTTAGAATAAGCTACTTTAATGCTAACTGCCAGAAATTTTAGAATTATGCAAATTTACAATGTCTATGATATTTGAGGCATTCTCTAAGTTTGGGCAGTGCACAACCCACATAACTGTACATAGCAGCCCCAGACAGAGTTGCTCAAAGAGCAGTTTTTAGAGCAGTGTTAGAGGTGCTGATTGGTAGTTGGTTTCCATGTAAAGCAACAGATGAAGATCAAGGGTAGCTGTTATTTCAGGTGCCACCTGTCAACTGCCTTGTGCTATATGTGAACTCTAATACCCAAGCCATAGAATGAGAGTCATGGCCCTAGAAAAATGAAAGCTTCCAATGGAGAAGGGGCAGTCCCTTAGTGAAGTTCTGAAAGACAACAACTCCTGGGGGGTGATGCTGGCTCCAGAGGCTGTCCAAGCTGTTTTCCATTTGAATTTGGTCTGGTCCTCTATTTTAGAGACACATAAGCCATCTACTTATAAATATGGATTTGCCATTACTTTCCTCCTATATAATGGGTTATAGGGCTGAGCCTGCTCAATGGGGAGAAGCAAGGAGGGATAGGGAACAGACCACCTCCCATCGCTCTCTGCCCTACAAAGGGTTAAATGATGGAAAGCAATCTGAGGAATCCTATGTGAAAGTGTGAGAGAGTGTGTGTTTGTGAGTTATGAGTGTGTACGTGCGAAAGTATGAAAGAGTATGAGTGTGTATATGTGTGTGAAAGAAAAGTATGAGTGTGTGAGAGAGTAAGTGTATGTGTGTGTGTGTGTAAGAGAGTATGAGTATGTGAGACAGTGTGTGTATGTGTGTGTGTAGTGAGGAGCAGCCGGGGGACCAAGATACTTCCAGCCCACAAGGGAAGCAGCGAGCAGCCTTCTTTTGGTCTCATGCCCCAGGGAAACTCTCCAGCCCTCACCCTACCACATAGGCCCCAGCATGATACAGTACTGCAACAGCTGACACGAGTCCTGAGGTCACACTTGAGAAGCAAGAGCTCTGGGATGAGAAAACCCAGAGCCTTTTGCTTCTCGATATAAGATACTTTCCACAGCACCAAGAACTTGAGTGAACTCCCAAAATGACTTTAGAGACCACAGGCCCAGAGGAACTTGGAGGTGCAGAAGTAATTAGAAGGGATGAGATAAGCTAGGGCTTGTAAGTAACCTAGGTTTGGTTGGTAAGGTTGAAGCCACAGTTGGCTTTTGAATACTTGGGCAGTAGTTTATTAGTTGACCTCACGTTTTGCAGTCAACCAGTCTTGGTTGACAGCTCAACTTACCTCTGTTTGTTTTTTGAAACCCAAGTGCCTGACCCCTTGAAGCTTAGAAGGGCTTAAGAGAAAATCAACCTTGTACTTGCCTGAGAGTTAAAACTCAATTTGAAAGAGAGAATGATGGTGTAAGCAGACACTTCTAGCTCCTTCCAAGTCAAACAGGGCAGCATTGCCATTTTGCTTTAAGTGTATTCCAAGAACACCAGACACATCTGTAGGTACGAAACCCAAAGCTAAATATAATACTGTTTGGGTTTTTTAAATCACCATTTTTGAGTCACTAGACTAAAGTTACTCCCTAATTCAGCCGTGGATAAGCAGCTGCTATCCTCTTCATCTCTATCCAAAAGGCACTCAGAGTGTCTCGTGATTCATCACTTAGGTGTTTGGTTAAAATAGAAGGAAATGGAGATCTCAGACAGGAAAAGATAGCACTAGATATTTGGAGTAATATAGTTTTTAACAGTGAGTTTTGCATAGGACTCTGAGGTTCCGGCAAGACAGAGCAAAAAGAAACATTTGATAAATTCTAGAGTTGCCATTTTTCTGGTCAAAAGTAATGTACACCTTTGTCAGGAAAGACACAGCTCAAAGGTCTAGGACAAGCTAGGTGTGTGGATGCTCAGATGTTATTTCCTTTCTTATCCTGATTACTAAGATGACACAAATTTGATGGGATTCTTCAGGATTCTGCTGCACGGCTTCCCTGGCTCTTGATTCTGAAATTCCACAAAATGCTTTGCCAGTAGCCAAATCCATCCCATCTGTTCAGTTCACTCCACAGTAAGTGGGGACTTGGGAGGGGGGCTGGGTGTCCTCCTTTCTTCCTTGATCCTGCTTCTCAGTTTTCTTAGGTCAATTCAGGATGCCAGAAGTAGTGGGGACCAAAGGGATTAAGTTTCCCTTACCTTCTAAAGGGCACAATGTGAAAAGGGCAAGAAAATCATATTGGGATCCTTATTCTAAGTATAAACCCCATGACTCCTCATGCCAATGTCAGTCACTTAGGGACAGATAATTGAGCCCTAGGACCAGCCTGGCCCTCTTCAGGTAGCCTGGGCTACTCCAGCCTGGCTGTGTCTGAGGTGGAAGGATCAGAGATGGAAATTGATAGAAGTGTAAACACAGTATGGCTGGTATCTCTCTGCCAGGAATCTCTTTTCTCTTAGAGTGGCATCTTCCAGTATCCCCGAAGTTCAAGCCTGATCCATGTAATGGCATAGATTTTAAATTATTTTATTTTATCCAACGCATGGCTTGATCTCATGACCCCGAGATCATGACCTGAGCCGAAATCAAGAGTTGGAGGCTTAACCAACTGAGCCACCCAGGGGCCCCATGGGATAGATTTTAGAAATAACAGTCATGACAGGCCAGAAAAAAATGTGAACGAGATATTGGCTAGGTGGAGATTAGCTCCTGTACACCTGAGTGATTACCTGTTTATTTAAAAGTGAAGTTTCTGGCCTGTACCATTTTCCACATCATCCTCTCTGAGGATGTGTGAACAAAACAAAATAAACAACAACAACAACAAAGGGATAAAATACAACCTCCAATAGCATCAGTAAATGAGCAAGCAGATAAGCCTAGACTCAGGACTTTGTTTTGCTTATAGACACTGCATGCTCAACACCAGGGACACTTCTGGAACTTGGCAGTCTTGAGTCTTAAAGCCAATCAACTTGTATGATATAGAGAAGAATAAAAACCAGATCCTAGAGCAGGGGCCCATGAACCCTCTGAAACTGTGCATAGTGTTTTGGATATATGCATATGATTATTTTTGTGAAGACAAGCCCATAGTTTCCCCCTGATTCTCAAAGGGATTAAAGGCCCCAAAATAAGTCAAGAGTCACAGTCCTAGAATGTTTCAGCTGAGAAAGGTGTTTATGGGAAGTGGTTCAATCTCTGCCTCCCTCATTTTACATTTTACAAATGAGGAAACTGAGGCCCAGAGACATACTCCAGAGCTGAGCCTAGAACCCCACTTTCCTGTCTTTGGGTGCTGTCAACAGAAGTTTTTCAAAAGAGAAAGAGGCAGGCATGCTCTTTAATGAAATGGGCCCCTAGCTGCTTAGGGAAAAACATGTTTTCTAGAACAGTGCTGTCTAATAGAAATACAACAAGCCATGTATATAATTTAAACTTTTCTAATAGTCACATTATAAAACAAAAAGAAACAGATGCAATTAATTTTAATAACATTTTAGTAAACCCACTAAATCCAAAACGTTATCATTTCAGCATGTAATCAGTGTAAAATTACTGAGATCTCTACTCTTTTTTTGTATTAAGTGTTCTAAATCCAGTGTGTTTTTTATACTTACACCACATTTCAATTCAGACAGATTATGTGGCTGCCACATGTGGCTACTGGCTGCCGTATTAGGCAACACGGGTGTAGGTTATGTTTCTATCCCCCAGCAAGTGAATGGTTTGTATCTCTTATTTGATTCCACAATTCTTTCCAGGAGCCGGGTGGTGTCTCCAGTCATAGATGTGATCGACTGGAAGACTTTCCAATATTACCCCTCCAAGGACCTGCAGCGCGGCGTGTTGGACTGGAAGCTGGATTTCCACTGGGAGCCTTTGCCAGAGCGAGAAAGGAAGGTCCTCCAGTCCCCCATCAGCCCCATCAGGTGAGGCTCTATCACACAGCCTGCTTCTCCTTTGCTTCCTCAGCAGCCAAACTGCTTAGGATCTAATCCTGGTCTCATCGTTTCCTAGCAAGTTACGTAATCTGTTCCTCAGTTTCCTCATCAGTGAATTGAGCATAATAGGGCTGTTGTGAAGATTGAAAGAGTCACACTACATGAAAAGCATGGAGAGAATGCCAGGCACTCAACCCTTGGTGTTATTATTGTTATATTCTTATGTGAACGGAGTCCAGCTTAAACTCTTTCAGGTAGCTTCAGTGGACGCCCCTTAGTGGGGCAGTGAGAGAGCGTGAGCTGGGATCTTTTTATTATTTTTTTAAGGTTTTATTTATTTATTCATGAGAGACAGAGAGAGAGAGAGAGAGAGAGAGAGAGAGAGAGAGAGAGAGAGGCAGAGACACAGGCAGAGGGAGAAGCAGGCTCCCTGCAGGGAACCCGGTGCGGGACTAGATCCCAGGACCCCAGGACCACACTCTGAGCCAAAGGCAGATGTTCAACCACTGAGCCACCCAGGCATCCCTTGAACTGAGATGTTGACCTAACTCTACCTCCCCCAAGAATTTCCCTGACTTCAGGTATTTTCTTGCTAAAAAGGAAGGATTCAGTCAGGTGAATGCTAAGACGTCTTAACTCTCAAAATACATCAAATTTTGTGGGTTGCTTGCTTGCTTTAGTGTTGGAGCATGTTTGGGTTTTGAGCAATTATTCTGTTTAAGAAGATGTTCAAGATATCTTCTTTTGTATAACAAACCACCCAAACTTAATGGCGTAGAACAACAACAGTTTTATTAAGCTCACAGATTCTGCTGGCCGGGAATTATGAAAGGAAGCATCAGGGTTGGTTGTCTCTGCTCCATGGTATCTGGGATGGCAGGAAATGGCTCAAGATGGTGGGGCAGGAGGCAGCCCTGAGGCTCCTTGAATATCTGTAGGTTGATGCTAACCATCAGCTGGGACCTCCATGGGAATTTCACCCACTCCCTCCATGAGCTTTCTGCACGTGGGGCTTACTACCCATGGCACTGGGTTCTGAGACTATGTATCCCAAGATGGCCAGCCAGGTGAAACAAGCTGTATCCCCCCTCCTTTTAAAAAAAAATGAGTGAGGGGCATCTGAGTGGCTCAGCAGTTGAGCCTCTGCCTTTGGCTTATGGTGGGATCCTGGATCCAGGGATCAGGTCCTACAGGGAGCTGCTTCTCCCTCTGCCTGTGTCTCTGTGTCTCTCATGAATAAATAAATAAAATCTTAAAAAATAAAAATAATTTAAAAAAATGAATGGTGAATTTCACATGTCACAAATAAACCATTTAAAAATGAACAGTTCTGTAACAAGTAGCAATGTTGTGCATGTGTTGTGCAACCACCACCTGGATCTAGTGCTAAAACATTTCCATCACAATACAGTAAAATCTCATACCTATTAAGTGGTATTTCCCACCCTCTCCTCCCCACCCCTCCCAGCACCTGGCAACCACTGTCTGTCTCTATGGATGGATCCATTCTGGATGTTTCATATAAATGGAATCATATGATATGTGACCTTTTGTGTCTGGCTTCTTTCACTTAGTATAATGTTTCAGAGTACATTATCCTCTTCTCTAACCAAGCCTTAGAAGTCACCCAGGGTCACTTCCAACATAATCACAGGTCTTTTCTTCATGGGAAGGAAATATAGACCCCACCTCTCAGGGGAAGCAACGTCAATGTCACATTGTAAGAAGAGCCTCTGGGACAAGGGTGGTGGTGCTCACCTCTGGGCAGTGGATCTCCATTAGCCACAGTCCATCTCCGTCATATACTGCCCAATGCCAACCAATTATTCTGGTGGCCTCTGAGTATCTAGTACAGGGACACAGAATGAAGACATTAGGCACAAACAGGACTTCGAAGGGTCCGTTCAAGGGAGTGTGACTCTAACAGAAGTTTGATAAGCCATAAGCTTAGAAGTGCAAAAAAAAAATTGTCTTGATTTTCTAAATTGGACTTATGTAATTTATATATTAACCTGATCATTCCTGTCTTCTCTCTGCCCAGGAGCCCTGTGGTGCCCATTGGGGTTGTGGCCATGGACAGACATTACTTCCAAAACACTGGAGCCTATGACCCTCTCATGTCACTGCAGGGTGGCGAAAACCTCGAACTATCTCTCAAGGTATGTCCTGGATCAAGGGAGGAGCCGGGTGGGTTCTATGGAGTTGTGTGTAAGGTCCCAGCTTGGAGGCAGCCAGTAAATGCCCCTAGTTGGGTCTGAGGCTTCAGGCAAAGTATAAAGTCATGAAATGTGGTGTGTCAAAACTCCCTTTCCCATCTCTCTCATGCCTGTATTCCCTAGTGAACCCAGCTATCAAACCTGCCCATAGGAAAGGGCACGGTATCAGCCATGTATACCGTAGCACAAAGTTTCCTGTACATTCTCTGGGCATGGCACCCTCAGCATCTCAGCCATTATTCACAGCACCCATAGGTCAAAACAAATGCCAAGCAGTTCTGCACATTGAATTCGGTGGTTAACCCCCTTATCTGCGGTTTCTGGTGCTCATGGTCAACCATGGCCCAGAAGAGATGAGCCACCTTCTGAGGTATGGTCAGGTTAGTAGTAGCCTAATGCTAGATCACAGTGCCTGCATCATTTCCCTCATTCCATCTCATCATGTGGACACTTTATCATCTCACAGCATCACAAGAAGACTGGGTATGCTCTAAGAAGATATTTTGAGAGAGAAACACCATATTCACATAACTTTTTGTTACAGTTTATCATTATACCATTCTATTTTATTAGTGGTTGTTAATCTCCTAATGTGCCTAATTTATAAGTTAAATCATGGGCATATATGGGTGTATGTATAAGAAAAAATATAGTATATATAGATTCTTGAACTATCTGTGATTTCAGGCATCAACTGGGGTTCTTGAACATATCCCCCATGGATAAGAGGGAACTACTGGAGCTCTAAAAAATAAGTAAAACAAGTATTTGTCCTAAAAATTTAGCACCTGTTGAGCCCCACACAACTTCTCAAACCTTGGAATCAGATCAGACACCGCCACCCTCATTTCCCATTCCATGCTGATTTTTAAAAGATTTTATTTATTTATTCATGAGAGACACACAGAGAGAGGCAGAGACATGGGCAGAGGGAGAAGCAGGCTCCCATGGAGCAGGGAGCCTGATCGGGACGTAATCCCAGGACACTGGGATTATGCCCTGAGCGGAAGGCAGACGCCCAACCACTGAGCCACCAGATGTCCCTCCATGTCGATTTTAACACAATACTTGCTTTTTCATCACAGCAACCACTGAAAACCTAACCCAATAAGGATGAATGTTATCAAGTGCAGCCATCTAACGTTGAAACCACGAATTAGCTCAAGCTTGTAGTTTGCAGAACATCCAACAGATGTCACTATGTTTCTCCCAAACATTTAAAAGAGCCTGTCTGCAAGACCTTTGAGATTGCTGGGGCACCCTGGGGGTACCTTGGCACACAGTTTGGGAACTCCATGTGTGGTATGTTTCAGTTTATATGCTGCCTATGCTAGGAATGTTTTCATCTTTCCTCTTTACCCTCAAGTGTGAAATGAAAGGCTTCCTATCAAATGAATTCCAGGTATTTGGGAGGAGGCAGGAGCGTTAGTGAACAGTGAGAACCCTCCTAAAGGAGAGACCAACTATGTTTAAGGAAAACTTGTTTTGATCTTCACATAAATGGCTCTGGTGCCTTTGCAGCAGGAGATTTCATGAGTTTTTAGAAATTCTCTGAGAACTAGGGACCCCTTGCTCCCCGAGAAAGCAGCTTTGAGGAACAGGGGTGCTAATCCACATGGCCACATCTCTAAAAGCGTTGCATGTGTGCTTCAGGGGCAGGTCACGTTGCATGGATGTGGCCCCCTTACTCCACTGGTTCTGTCCTGGGACAAATATACTCATTCTTTCCACCCTGTCACTCCCCTGCCCAGAACTCCCAGATCTGGAAACTCTATGGCACCCTGAGGATTCTAATTCTCTTTACCATTTTTTGCTCCTGATATCATGTGCATTTTGCCAGCCCCTGTCAGGGTCCCTCACTTCCCATGTCCTCGGAATGGTGTTCAGATGTTTATTTTCTCCTTTTCTGGAAGGTCTGGCTCTGTGGTGGCTCTGTTGAAATCCTGCCCTGCTCTCGAGTGGGGCACATCTACCGAAATCAGGAAACCCACTCCCCCTTTGATCAGGAGGCTACTGTGCGGAACAAGGTTCGCATCGCTGAGACCTGGCTGGGCTCATTCAAAGAAACCTTCTACAGGCACAGCCCAGAGGCCTTCTCCTTGAGCAAGGTAAGGAGTGATCCTAGCGGGGGCTTCTGGACGTGCCACAGGGCCACCAGCAGGAGAGTGGGCCAGGGAGTGCCTCTCCCTCTAGCCTGGTGGGGGGGAATAAAAGCTTCCACCTCGTGTTTCCCTTAAGTTGTTCCTCTCAAGTGGCTCCTCTACTTGGCAGGGCTGCCTGTCTCTCCCCAGCGTCTCTCCCAAGCATCAGGGCATCCCAGCTGGTCTTGGTCTGCAGCCCCCTGATGTCTGTTGGATGACATCCATGGGTTGTAAGACACATTGGGGCAGAGGACAGATTGGGCAGGGAATATTAGCAGTAACAGGTCTCAGGGGGCCTTTTCAACCTGGGCAAAATGCTCAAGGCTATGAAATTATCCAAGACATGAAACAAATGTAAGTATAAATATAAAGATCTAATATAAGCCACGGAAAAATTAAAATCTTAAACATTTAATTAAACGTCCACAAACAGTGCATTTTCAACTGCCACTCACCTCAGTTCTTGTGGCGTGACACATACATACTATTCAACTTGAGATGTGGGTTCCCATTAATGTTTGCTATGCAGGGTGTGGGGACGCCTGAGGTAAGATTTCCACCACCCACAAAGGTCTTGGGACAACTCCCAAAAGCCCCTTACCAGCCTACACTGCAGGGCCGAGCTCTATTCTTTTTTTTTTTTTAATAAATTTATTTTTTTATTGGTGTTCAATTTACCAACATACAGAATAACACCCAGTGCTCATCCCGTCAAGTGCCCCCCTCAGTGCCCGTCACCCATTCACCCCCACCCCCCGCCCTCCTCCCCTTCCACCACCCCTAGTTCATTTCCCAGAGTTAGGAGTCTTCATGTTCTGTCTCCCTTTCTGATATTTCCCACACATTTCTTCTCCCTTCCCTTATACTCCCTTTCACTATTATTTATATTCCCCAAATGAATGAGAACATATAATGTTTGTCCTTCTCCGATTGACTTACTTCACTCAGCATAGCTCTATTCTGATTCAGAAATCTCCCCATCTGTTCATCTGACTTTCACAAAGACAATGGCACCTCCTACTGGTAAATGAGAAGACTTTTTCCCCCCCTTTAAACATTCCTATTAATTCATGTTTTGGAACTGTCCTATTGCTTACATCAGTATCAAGATTTTAATAATATTGACGGGATGAGCACTGGGTGTTATTCTATATGTTGGCAAATTGAACACCAATAAAAAATAAATTTATAAAAAATATTTTAATAATATCACTGCCTCATTTTGCTCTACAATTTCTATCCTTCCATCCCCTTTCCTACTCCAACCTCAAAATCCTCGTATGGATTTTGAGATACAGAAATTCTGGGCACTCAAAAGACAAGGCTGGGGTTTCACTGTTGGAAGAGTTGTCATCCTCTTGTTTTTTGTTTTGTTTTGTTTTCCTCTCAGGCAAGGGTGTACAGAAGGGCAAGTTCATTGTCAGCATCCTTCCTCATTTGAGGTCAGACAAGGGCTGGCTAGATGTACCAGTTTGTTTCATTACCAAGAAAGCTGAAGGTGATGGAATATGCATGAAGGAATGTTCCTGCTCTGGGACCAAAGTCCAGCCCTACAGAATGGCTGGCAAAGTCTCAAGTGAACACTCCGAATGCCAAGAAACTACAAAAAATTTATACTAATTTCCTTAAAGGAAAGTAGTAGATCTCTTTGGTTTAATGTTAGGTAAATATGCTAAATAAATAAGACATTCCTGACTTAGAGAAGTTGTTCCCAAGCTTCCTGTGGATAAGATTCACCAGGAGAGAGAGTTAAAAAGCAGATTCCAGGGGTGCTGCCCCAGCCTATGGAATCATAGTCTCTAGTGTAGGGCCTATGAATCTGCATTTTAACAAGTTCCTTGGGCATTTCTGAGCCAGGTGCTTGGGATAACAGTTTGAGAAGCATGCCGAGAGCATTTCAGTATGGCAGATTCAGACCTTACTCCTCCAACATTGCCATCTGAGGAGTAGAAGAGGGAGAAAGCTGAATCAAACCAATCCCACTTGATACAGCCTGTTATAACGCCCAGTGTCTAGTTGCCATCCTAGAGGACATGGACTTCTTATTCTAGCCCTCTCTCTTTTCCTCTCCTTACCCCACTTTCTCTTTTATTAAGTAGGCTCCATACCCAGCATGGAGCCCGATTCAGCTTGAAGTCACAACCTGAGCTGAGATCAAGAGTGGGACGCTTAAACAACGGAGCCATCTAGGCACCCCTCTCTCTGTTTTTGTTTCTGATCTTTCCATCTCCTCCTTAGCACCTCTGTCTTCCCTAAAGATATCCAGGATTTAGTAGCAAATGTATACATAGGTTTCCTTACATCTTATCAATACAGCCAAATACATAAATTTATACTAAAGTGTTAAGGACTTACCTGATATCCATCCCAGGACAACTGTATTATAAAGGAAAATTTCAAAGAAAGGGGATAGCATAGCCCAAAGGAATGATTCATTAATGGAGGAGGTTGGGCACTTAGAGGAGAAGAAGAGTAAACTTGCCTTATCCCCACCCCACCCCACAATTTCCCAGCTTATTTAATCTCAGTGGCCTTTGGGTCAATTCCTGCCTCCATAAGGCTCATTATAGTGCTGCACCTCACCTGCCTAGGTGCAAAGCCCCACTGTTTCACTGGCTTTCACAGAGAAGTCCTTAAAGCACAGATATAATGGTCTCTGTCAACTGAAAAAATGAGGGATTGTGGGGAAGGAGTGACCTCACAACCACATTACTGGTTCCACAGCTCTCTATACGGAGGATCCATCCTATTCTGTCCTCTTCAGACCTCTTCCCCCAACACATGACCTTCCCTCCTGTCTGCAGCCCTGGAGAACTGTGGCTTTGGTCCCCTGTCTGAGTCCCATTCCTGCAGCTTCTTCCCAGCCACCTCTGTCCCTCCCCAAATGTGAATGGTGGTGAACAGCAGCCTTCACCTGTCTCCCTACCTGTGTCTTTCTCCCGCCCCAGGCCGAGAAGCCAGATTGCACAGAACGTCTGCAGCTGCAAAGAAGGCTGGGGTGTCGGATGTTCCACTGGTTTCTGGCCAACATCTACCCTGAGCTGTACCCAACTGAGTGCAGGCTGAGGTTCTCTGGAAAGGCAAGGCATGACCCAGGGAAGATGAGGAGGAAGGGTGGGGGCAGTTTCCCAAGACAGGAACTGGATGTTCAGATGCTTGACCATGATCCTAGCCACACTGTCTCCAACTCATTGGGGCCTCAGAGGCTTTCATGCCTACCTGGAGGGAGGTGACTGGATTGCTGCAAAGCCTGTTTCAGGGCCCTTCATCATGACAAGTGTGGCCTGCTTCCTGTCCCTGGGAGTTAGAGCTTTCAGCTTGACCTTGCTTATTTCTGTGGTCTGAACCTGGTACCTTGAGCTATACTGCAGGAATGGCACTGGACAGCAGGTGTCTTTACAGTTGACAGGGGGGTTCATATCTGCATGGGTGTCCACTTCCAGCTCCACAATACCGGACTTGGCCTCTGTGCAGACTGCCAGGCAGAAGGGGACATCCCGGGCTGTGCCATGATGCTAGCTCCTTGCAGTGACAGCCGGCAGCAGCAGGTAGGTAGTCAGAGTTCTCAGCATTCAACAGCCGGGAAGACCTGAGGGTGGTCTTTCCTGGGATGCTCCTCGCTTCCCTTTAAGGGCATCTCCTTTCAGTAGTCCTGTGTCCCCTACTCCAGTGACCCGTCCCAGCTCTGCCTACCCACCCTCAGGCACAAGCACAGACATAGACCATCATCAGAGAATACAATTATCCAAGCCTGGGGGAAATGGAGAGTATCTGGCCATTCATCTAACGGGTGAGGAAACTGAGGCTCAGAGTGACTAGCCCAGGGATTGCAAGGTCATATATGCCCAGGGTGAGGCAGGGAAAGAAAGAGAGCATAGTGAGCTGGGTTGGAGACTGAGGAGTGTCTGCAGAACATGTGCCCATCTGAAAGGGCAGCAGCACCATTCCCCAGCCTCAGCAATGCTTTCTCTTTTGTATGAAAGTGGCCCCAATATTATGAGATCACCCCCAAGTTTTGAAAGATGTTTGAAATCCAGAGTTTATGGAAAATCTCCCTACTTAAATTAAAAATCTATCATCCAAAGTCAGAGAAGACCAGCCAGAGATCATCGGCCAGCTAGAACCAGAGACGGGAAGGAGGTTTCACGCAAGTGGGCACCGTAGACACAGAAGCACTGAGGAGGCAAGGAGAGCCCAGAAAGTGTTCCCCACTTGCAGTGGAGTCTCAAACCTACAACTCATGGCTGCAGTCTTGTCTCAGTTCTCTGACTCTGAAGCCTCACAAGCAAATGTGGTGAGGCTTTCAGGAATTTAATGTGGCTCTAAGGGAGCCAGAGTTCACAAAGGGGAATCAATAGGGCACCACAGGAGCCTGGCGTGTGTGCTTCTGTTTATCTGTGTGGGTGTCTCTGGACATGCACGTTTTTGTGGTCTATGTGAAGCGGAAGAGGAGGGCTGGATTGGGAGCAGACAGGCCTTGTGGCCTCAGACGACCATCTGCTCCACTTGCCAGAGGAGGGCTCCCACACAGATGGAGTCATTGGCTCCAAGCTGCAGAGCATTGGCCTCATTCAGAACATTTCCCATGCACAGAGCAATTTGGTCTGTGAAATTCCTCCCACAGGGAGGAAGCCTTTCACTCCATGGTCAGAAGCAAAGCAGAGAGAACAAACACCCCTTCAGAGCAGAGGGGAATAACACATAAGCTCTTCTGGGATGCCAGGGCTGGTGGGGCCACTCCCCAGGTTACAGTGCTCTGATGACTTGCTCAGGGAGGGACCAAGAGGCAGCAATAAAGACAAATCACACAGTTTTCCCCGAGGCCCCACTCTGCAATGTGGCTGGACCTATCTGGACCCAACAAGGACGGGGCTGCCCAAAGGGCAGTCAAAGAGAGATGCTGAATATGCTCGGCAGGCACCTTGACCACAGGGAGAGGCTGCTCCCTGAGCCAGAGTTCCCATTCTCAGATAGCAGTAGCTCACCATGGGACAGACAATCTGAAATCAGCGCTGAGAAATCCAGGTGACACCTGGTGAAAATGTAGGCCTAGTAAGGATGGGCCAGTCTAGTGGCTTGTTTGTTCCCTGCCCATGGTTCTTAACCTTTTTTAGGTTATATCTTGTGGTTGCCCTATGGGACGCGTGATCAACCCTTGACCCCAAATTTGGTTCAGATATGGAGACTCATGACTTCACACATGCAATGAAACAATGGAAAGCATCATTATTCATGCTATGAGACTTTCTGGGGGAGAGCTGGGCAGGCTCCCAGGTAGGCCAGCAACTGGGTTGAGACAGCAAGAGACAACTGGCTTTGGCTCTTATGTGGTCGGGGGGCGGGCCAGGTGAGGGTACCCAAACTCTGGCTGGGCATACCTGGTTTGAACTTTCTGCCAACACCAATGAAGAAAGCACAGGGCTTTCTTATGAGCTTGCCCAGAGGTGGAGCAAAGGGATAAGGTGAAGGGGTGGGGCTTAAAAGCTCAGAGGTCAGACTAGCAGACACCATCACAGGTCACATGGTTCCTTTAAGAAGGTGATGAATTCTAAGGACTCTTCCTCAGAAAAAAGTGCATCTGCACAAAATTTTAACAATTTCCAGGGTTCATAGATCCCTTGAAGCTCTCTCTGGTCCATGGGGCTCTAAAACCCCTGGGTTATAATTTCCAGAAGCTAAAAGAAAGAGTTGAAGGGTAGAACCATGTCTCTTCCTTCAGTACCCCAATGATTGGTAAACTTCATGCCCTCTATTGTCTGAGGAAAGAAGAAGGTTACTGAGTCAGGGGAAGGTGTAGCATCCTGTAGGCCTCTTGGTTATCAGGAAGGTCTCTTTGTATCTTAGGGTATAGCTTCTCTTTAAAATTTCCATCACGAAATAACTCCCAAGATGGTGGAAGCCTCAGTGATGCTGGCTGAGGGTTTTCATGACTTGGATGAACCTAGAATGCCTACTCTGTCCCCAAATCTCTTTTGGCCTATGACAAGGATCTTTGCATTAAGGCCTCTATTGAAAACAAACAACAAAGTACAAGTTGCTGGAGATATTGCTCCAACAAGTGAGGTGAGGCCCCAAGAGCCTGGGGCAAATGCCAGAACATGTCTTGGAGGGTCTGGATTCCAGCCCTGCAGGGAGGAACCATGAGGCCAGGCTTGCCAGTGGGAGACCCTGGAATCCCTGGGGGAAAGCCTGCATCTGGAGGGCCTGTGGGGAAGCAGGTGCTTAGGATGCATGTGGCCTCTTTTGGCTTGGCCCTTAACCAGTGTTCCAGAATACACCAAAAGGCATTCACACCTGGCACAGGGGAGGGGGACAGAGAGATAAAGTGCTAAGTGAGGAAGCCGTGTAAGGTGGTAGAAACAGCTCACCACTTTCTACCTGTATGATATCAGAAGCCTTCTTAACCCCTCCAAGTCTTGGTTTCCTCCTCTGCAGCTGGCAATAATCCTGTCTCCTGCATGCAAACAGAATGTTAGTGTTGATGGGTTTTCTGAATCTTATTGGGAAGGAGAAGATTAGCAAGGATTTCTACATGTAGCAAAATCATGAACTAGCTAAGTCGAAAGCCCTTCTCATAAAAGCACCTATATATGCCATATAAAAATTAAGAAGAAACACAAAACTAACTGAATTTGTAACAAAGGGAAATCTCCAGGGCCCAAAAATCAAGAGGCAGCCATAAGGCATGGGCCAAACTATCCTGCCTGAGGTGAGGGAGCCAGGGGAATCCAGAGGCATTAGTTACAGGCAGGAGTAGTTAATGAGAGCCTAACTTCAGCCTGTGACAGATGAGAAGCTGGAAATGAGACATCATAGAAAGCCAACTTTGAGTTTCAAAGAGTAACACATCTGTGAAAAGTTTGACTAGAAAAATCCACCCACTCCCACAGGAAGATGAAAAGGAAGCTTGTCTGTCTCCACAGGGTCTTTGTATAGAGAAAGTTACTTTTAAAAAATTTTTTTAACCAGCAGCCTACACCTAATATGGGTTTCAGGTTCAAATATATGTATGGTGTGGGAATCTTCCAGTAGGAATGGCTACCCGATTCGTGAGGCCCAGAAAGAAATGAAAATGTGGGGCCCATCATTCAATAATTATTAAAAATTTCAAGGTAGTGACAATAGAACATTAAACTAAGTATATTAAACCAAAAACACTAAGCCCTTCTATGCATGAGGCCCCACGTGAATGCACAGGTCGCACATCCATGAACCCAACTCTGTCTCCCAGCCACGAAATTAATATAAAAATTCATTCAAGCTGTACCTGGCAGAAACAGAAAATGGTTTTATCAGAAGGTACTCTCCAGCCAGGCTACACAGGCTTCCTACAGCTAAAGCCCCTCTGCAAAGATATGCACAATCCAACACTACAAAACATGGGAGGAAAAAATGACCATGAGTGAGAGTCAGCAGATGCAACAGACAGCAGGAGAATTAGTTACAGGCCAGGTTAGATCTCTCCAGAAAGAGATAACCTTGGGCCTCAAGAGTGTCCCCTATCTGCTCTTCAGGCAGTGCACTCACACGATACACAGTATTCCTTATGGCCTCACCTATGATGCAATAAAAAGAATAATGGAGAAACATACCAAAATGTATAATCATGAATACAACAGCATGTGGCACATGGCGATTTCAGTGGCTGGGTCTGGTCTAGGATTGTATGTGTAGCTTGGACTATGAGAGATTGTATTGCTGACCCTAATAGGATCTAAAGATTGCCCCTAGACCTGAGTTCTCCTTCCTTCACCTCTAGCTTTGGAAAAGATCTCCTTCTAGCTATGCTAACAACCATCCCCTCTGTCACAGCACCTGAAGCACACCAGCAGGAAGCAGATCCACTATGGCAGCCCACAGCACCTGTGCTTTGATGTCAGGCAAGAGCAGGTGATTCTTCAGAACTGCACCAAGGAAGGCCCTGCTATCCATCAACAGCACTGGGACTTCCAAGAGGTGAGTCATCTACTCAGGAAGTGTTCAGCAATGCTTCTGGCTGGGATTGTGTTCTGGAGTCTTCCAAGAGTCAAGTGTTACCATACAGGCTGGTGCCCCTGCTGTTGAACTTAGGGACTTGGTGTTAAGGCCTCAGGAGGAATAAAGCCAACCTTGTAGCAAAGTTGGACCAACAGCCTCTTGAAGACTAATTTGCCATGTCTTTGTAAATCTCTGACTAAGATCATGGAAGAAAGAGGAGACAGTCCCTTTTTGAAGTTTATTAGCTCAGGTCACCAGCAAGACCATGGAGTATGTTATAGAAGCAGCCAAATACCTCAGTGATGTGGTTTTAGGAGAAATAGAAAGGCCCTTCCTTCTCTACTTGGTGATAAGTGGATCTAAGACTCAGGCCCACACATGCTCAAATACATCTTGGAAACCAAGTTAAGGTCCATTATGAATGGTAACAAAGGACCATTCAACTCAAGTCCTATGTATAAGAAATGCTTTAAAAAGAGCATTTTAAAATAATAAGTAAAAGATTAGTAAGATACACCCAGTGTATTTCAGGCTTTAAAAACTAAGACTTTGTGCTCGCTTTGGCAGCACATACACTAAAAACTAAGACTTTAAAAAAGTATTATTGTTTAGCCATGAAAAGGAGTGAAGTATTGTTCATAATAGCACTATTTACAATAGCCAAAAGGTAGAAGCAACCCAAGCATTCAGTGATGGATGAATGAATAAACAAGATGTGGTATAGTATTCCACATAAATAAATAAATGGAATACTATTTATTTATAAATACCTATATGTTCATATGTATATAATGTAATACTATTCGCCTAAAAGGAGAGGAAAAATTCTGTCACAAGTTACAACATGGATGAACCTGGAGGACGTCACACTAAGTGTGTATCAGAAAAGGACAAATATTATATGATTCCACCCATAGAAGGTATCTAAAGTAGTCAAATTCATAGAAACAGAAAATAGAATAGTGGTTATCAGGAGCCTGGGGGGAGGGGAGAGTTGTTTAATAGGTATAGTTTCAATTTTGAAAGATGAAAAAGTTCTGAATATGTGTTTCACAACAATGTGAACATATTTCATACTACAAAACTACCCTTAAAAATGGTTAAGATGGTTACTTTTATGTAATTTGTTTTTACTGCAATGAAAAGAAAAAAGAAATTAGGTACTATTTCACTACGCAAAGAGAAAGAAGTCAATCACAAAAGGTCATATATTATATGACTTCACTTATAGGAAATGTCTGGAATAGACAAATCCATTAATATGGAAACCAAATTAGTGATTTCCAGGAGCTAGAAGGAGGGAGAGACAGAAAATGATTATTAACGGATGGTGGGTTTCTTTTTACAGTGAGGGTTGCATGGAATCTGTGAGTATACTAAAAGCCATCAAGGTGTATTCTATAAAAGAGTGAATATTATGGTGTATGAATTATAACTAAAAAAAAAAAACCAAATGGACATTATCAGCATTGTTGTTCTAAATGTTTAACTTTTCAAAAAGAAATAAATTTTGGGGGGCACTTGGGTGGCTCAGTGGTTGAGCATCTGCCTTTGGCTCAAGGTGTGATCCTGGGGTCTGGGGATCAAGTCCCACATTGGGCTCCCTGCAGGTAGCCTGCTTCTCCCTCTGCCTATGTCTCTGCCATGAATAAACAGATAAAATCTTTTAAAATAGAAAATCAATTTTTGTTGGAAAAAAGGATAGCCATATTCAATATTAAATCTGGTCGCTTTTGAGTAGGAAGCGTGACTGACATCCTTCAAACATGACTGACTTAGGCCCTTTATATATCCTTGAGCTTTCACTTTCTACTGCAACCTGGTGGCAGCAGTACTAAATTGCAGGATCCAGAGGGGGCAGAGACCAGATTAAAATCTTTTCGAAAGCAAAAATATACAAGACAAGGATAACAATGAATGTCTCCAATATGGTATAAAGACTGAACATGCTCTGTACCCTGGCATGCTACTAACCACAACTCTCTAAGAATTGGCACAATTATACAATCTCAACAAAGATAATTTAATTAATGACCTCAAGCTTCCAAATAATATTTATTTTTAGGGCTACCCCAAATTATACTTTATATTTTTAAAGATTTAAATATAAAAATCTTTATATTTTTAAAGATTCTTAAAATCTTTTTATTATTCTTTTTATTTATTCATGAGAGACACAGAAAGAGAGAGGCAGAGACATAGGCAGAGGGAAAATCAGGCTCCATGCAAAGGAGCCAGATGTGAGATTTGATCACAGAACTCCAGGATCATGCCCTGAGCCGAAGGCAGACGCTCAACTGCTGAGCCACCCAAGCATCCCTAAATTATACTTTATATTAGCCAACATACTACAGTTCCTATCAGCCAGTTCAGACCACCTCTATAATTCTTATAATAATGAGCACAAAGCTTAGAAATATCCTTCTTTGCTGACTGATTGTAGAGAATTGACTGGTTTTCTTTTCTTTTCCTTTTTTTTTTTTTCTCTTTTCAGAATGGAATGATTGTCCACATTCTTTCTGGAAAATGCATGGAAGCTGTGGTGCAGGAAAACAGTAAAGATTTGTACTTGCACCAGTGTGATGGAAAAGCCAGCCAGCTGTGGCGATTTGACAATGTCAACACTGTGGATGAACGGTGACTGTCAAAGGGAAAACAGAAGTTTAGTCATCACAGTTCAGCCCCAAGAGAACTGAAAGAGCATGTTTATTTCATGAAGCAGACCCTTTTGTGTTTGTGCTTCTGGTGACAGTAGAAAAGAAAGCTCCATGAATGAATATGGAAAGTCTTTGCTTCTTACACCTTATTGCATTGACTGCTGGCTGTTTTAGAAAAAGGAAAAAAAATTCATTGCTCATTGTCTTCATCACTGGTAGATGGTCATTACATAGTATGGAAGATTAGGGTTTTTTTTTTTTTTCCCATTGAGCACTTGATAATTGCTTTTTATCTCTGATAAAAGAAAGAGGCATGGGCAGTCTCTGGCAACATCTCCAATGATACATAAATCTAATAGATAAATCTTTTGCAAATGGCCTTACCTTGGATCCTCTGTGTAGCCAACCATGAAAATTCAAGTGTGAAGAGGATATAATGGCCTGACATCCCAAAAACTTTGGATTAAGCTCATTAGGACAAATTCCATGTTCACTGGCTGAGCCATAGCTCAGAAGAAGAAAGGGAGGCCACTGAGGAAGAGTAGAGTTCAAAAGAAGATGGAAGAGCTTTGGCCCAATTCTCCAGCTCAGCTCAGCTAGAAAGTCAGCAGACCTGGAATAGGATGTTTTCATGTAAATGAGAATTTCCTCCATACTTTCTACCTCCATTCTCCCTGCCCTAGCCCTTCTCTAGCTTGGTTAACCCCAACCAGAATCTCATGCAATGTATTTCTCTTTAATCATTGGTATTGGAAGGGTCAGCTTGGACTGAGCATTCCCAGTAACAAAGTATATACAATTGAGAAATTCTCCTGATGCCCTGTCATAGGGTTTGCATTGACTGAATCAGAAATAGCAACCTCCATAAAGAAACAAGCCTCCCCAGAAGGGACATGCCTGCACTTGAGCCAAAACTCATATGAAAGGAACCAGAGTTGGGTATCAATACCCATTAGGGCTGATGTGGCCATTTCTGAGCCTGGGATCCCCAAATGTGCCTGCAGGTTGAATGTTCATAACTGGGGGAGCTACATGCCTCAGCTAGAGCAGAGCCAGTGCTAGCAAGAGCTGAAGGGCTCTCCTTGCTGTGACCTGGTCTACCTAGTTTGGCCATAGGGAGCTGTTGAGTGAAGTTGATTGTACTGTTAAGAAGACACCATTTATCCCCCTGTTTCTCCTCTAAGTAGAGTTTGATCTCTACACGGTCAGCTTAGAAACCTCCCTTCAAAGATATTATCTCCTCTGGGCTGTCTCAGAATTTAGAGTGTTTCAAATAAGAAAAACTAGGTAGGAAGTGAGGGTTTCTAAGCAATGCCTATCATAATTATGTATTCTTTTTCCATCAGCTTAAGTCAATAGCCCACTGCATTTTTCCTTCCTCAGAATACACTCCAGACCTGTGCTGTCTACAGTAGCTATTAGCCACATGTGGCTATTTAAATGTTAAATTAAATGTTAATTTTTAATAAAAATTACAACTCAGTTTCTCAGTTGTACTGGTCACATTTCTAGTGCTTAATAGCTGCTTGTGCCTAGTGGCTACTGTATTGGAGAGCACAGATATAGAACATTCTATCACTGCAAATAGTTCTATTGGATAGTGCTGATCTCGATAGATTCATCAGCCCATTGAGAGAAGAGATTTTAGCCACTGTCTGCTTCCTTCAGACATTCTATATTTAAAACAAATTCTCCTGACATCCTGAGGCTGGGATGGAGCTAAAAAATTATCAGATGGCAACCCTGTAAATGGTATTAATAGTTGCAAACTAAAAATTAAACAAGACCTCTATTTTTTTAAGTAAACTTAATTATTGGCATTGTGAGTGAAGTTGCTGGAATAAATTAATATAATTAAATAAAAGGCTGAATTCAATTGTGTAAGTTGCGTTTGACAGTAATTAACAAAAGGACCCAGATGGCTTATTGCTTAATTGGTTTAACAAAGCAAGAATGTGGGGTTCCTTGCTTCCTTAACCATCCCCATGATTTATTACTTTATTGTAGAAATGGCTGTCAACTCTGTCCCTAGCTGGTACTTACAGATCCTTAATTTAAACAAAACAGATGTCTCCATTTAGTTCTAAAAGAAATTCAACCTTCTCCTCATAGTGTAATCAAGTGTTCAAATTTCTGTTCTCTATGGACTCTGCTTTAATTTTGTCCATAATGACCATTTTAAAAGTAGAGAAACCTGGCAATTGAAAGATTTTATTTCCAAGAGTGTGATCTCCACTTTTGTGATTGAACTTTGTTGTTTTCAGGAGTACAAGCTCCTGACTGGACTTTATTGTTCAGGAGTAGATAGATGGGACACCTTGTTAGTATTCAGGTTGTCGGTTCTAGTTTGTTCTTGAGGTCTTGCTAGACCCCTGTCCTCAGAGCCTGTGAGACATCCCATCATACTTTCATTTAATCCAATGCTCCTCAAATTTCACTGTGATCACAAATCATATGGGGATTGTGTTAAGATACAGACTCTGATTTGGTAGGTCTGGGGTGGGGCCCGAGATTCTGCATTCCTAATGAGCTCTCAGGGGATGCTGATACTGGTCTGTGGACCACTCTCTGAATAGCTAAAGTTTATTTTTTTTTCAAGTTTTTTTTTCACATTTTATTTTTTAAAAATTTTTTGTATATTTTTTATTGGAGTTCAATTTGCCAATATATAGCATAACACCCAGTGCTCATTCCATCAAGTGCCCCCCCTCAGTGCCTGTCACCCAGTCACTCCAACCCCCTGCCCACCTCCCTTTCCACCACCCCTTATTTGTTTCCCAGAGTTAGGTGTCTCTCATGTTGAATAGCTAAGGTTTAAACTATTCCAGCAGTCTTCTGTTGCTACTTGGAACTAGGAGAACGCCCACCAGACCAGTTCTTGGACTACTCTTTGCTTCTCACAGATCTCTTTTTTGAATCCACATAGCAAGATGGTTTGATCCTGTAGGATATTGGACAACACACCTTGTTCAATGTAATACCTTTTCGTCTCTTCCCTCCACACTTTTCCTTTTTCTCTTTCTGTTGACTAGTTCTATTCTTTTGACCAGGAGAGTTAGTTTTGTTGTTTTGCTCCTTGGCCTGCGTTGTGATCTCCTTATTTTGCTTATCTTGTCCACAGCTTCCCTCATTTTCTCATCTCTGATCAACGCTGCTTTTTCCAGCATCCATGGTCCTGTGACAGCTTTTATCTCACTCTCCCATTCCTTCTTCTGACCCTCTATTCCTTTCCATCACCAAGTCCAACTGACCAGTCTTGATGGAGTGAACACCACTGGTTTCTCCAAACAATTTTTGGAGCACTGAGCAGCACATCAATTAATTGCTGGATTTTTTAGTTTTTTCTCAGCCCTAGCTTCTGTCTTGAGGGAATCCAGAGTGTGGAGGAGTAGAAATATCATTTCACATGGATGTGAGATGGTTGAGCTACTAGAGATGCTGCTACTAATCATGGGGATACAGCCCTTGTCTTGAGGAAGCTGCCGGCGTCTGCCAGGCAGGTAGCCCTATCTAGAGGATCTACAGAGAGGAAGCTATAGGTGACTATTGGGAGATGGGCCAAGACCCATAACCTCTGAAAATAGTCACATATAATAGCCAGACATAAGAATAGGTGATCAGAAAACAAATCCTGCCAAAGCCCAAAATTTGACTCCTTCAATCCTTAAGTCACACAATAAAGGTAAAGCACAACCAACTAAGAAGGAGATGCCAAGGGAATCCCTGGGTGGCTCAGTGGTTTAGCGCCTGCCTTCGGCACAGGGCATGATCCTGGAGTCTCGGGATCGAGTCCCACATCAGGCTCCTTGCATAGAGCCTGCTTCTCCCTCTGCCTGTGTCTCTGCTCCCCACCCCTCTCTGTGTCTTTCATGAATAAATAAATAAAATCTTTTTTTTTTTAAAGAAGGAGATGCTAAATTCACCCTTTAACATTGGAGTCTATGGTAGTGACACAGTATTCTGGCCCCACTCACTTTCCTCTTGTGTTATAGCCTCAGGGAGCTCCTGAAGAACTTCCAACTGTTATTATCTGCATTTCTTTGCTTGAGGGTTTTTCCTAAAGCTGAAGAAGGCTGCTTTATGATGTGGGGCAGGCCAGAAAGTCATCCGTAAGGAGCAGTCCTCAATCAATGACTGCTAAGAGTATAGATACCTCAGTTCCCTCACCTCTCCAGTAGGATAATGCTGACATGCAAATTCCACATCATTTCCCAGAGCCCACTGTGGGATTATACTCTAATCACCCACAGTGGTAGCTGGCTTGATAATACATCTTTAATTGTCTATATTCCCTACCCACCCCCTCACTGGTGCTTTCCAAACTCACTTTCCAGGTAAACCACTTATACTCAATCCTTATTTCAGTGTCTCCTAAGGGAAACTCACATTGACATACATGGCCTGGGCCTCCAGAAGCTTCTACCTATGGCAGTTATTCTCGTCAAATTCCACTCTTTATCAGTAGTTGCCCGCCACGTATCAGATGCCCTACTCCCCTGAGCTGAACTTATTGCACTGAACTGCAAGACCAGAGTATGGGCCTCTAGGCAGCTGTGTCTCAGGAAGGGAGAGACTGAGGAAGGAGCAAACTGCTCAGTCCTTATCTCAAACATATCATTAACATTAGACATCCTTCCTTCTTGGGGAAGAATGAATGAGGGTTAGCGAGAGGCCACAAGTATTCCACTAACTGATATCCCTCCTTGTAGAAACCTGAAGCCTAGGAAAGCCTAGGTTCCTCCTGAGACCACACACACACGCACACACACACACAAATGGTCCCTTTCATATTTTAATTATTGTGCAATAACTGGTACATACCAGTGTTGGAGGGTGTGCAGATACACTATGTAAGCTAAGAGCAGAGAGCGTGGTTGTTCTCTATGATTAAATGAGAGGCACTTAGATATAAGGTAAGTATTGAGGAGGAGATCGGCCAAAGAATATGGTAAAGTCTTGAAGAGCAAGATGATCCAGGGAGTATTTCCTCTGGGGGCAAGAAGGGGGGTTGCCAGAGGGATTTTAGAGTTAGGTAACTAATAAAGTATGTCACCTTATTTTAGTCCTCACTATAAAGGTGTCACTTTATTTTCACCTGAAAATTTTTTAAAAAAAAGATTTCATTTATTCATGAGAAACACACACACACACAGAGGCAGAGACACAGGCAGAGGGAGAAGCAGGCTCCCGCAGGGAGCCCGATGCAGGACTAGATCCCAGGACCCTGGGATCATGCCTGAGCCAAAGGCAGACACTCAACCACTGAGCCACCCAGGCATCCCTCACCTGAAACTTTTGGCCAAGACTTATATACTGATTGTGTGCTGTGTTGGAGGATGAAAATCAAGGAACAGGACTGAGCTCCTGTCCAGAATAGAGAAAAAAGGAGAGAAGTCTCTGCAGGTTGGATAGATACCAGTGAGACTGGGCATTCAGTGGAAGCAGGCTAACATCGGCATAGAGAACTAACACAAGTTCTTGCCACCACATCATGTCAATAAGGATAAATTCACTGAGGCAAGATATGTTAAAATTATTTTAGACTATGGACTAGAGCAAGGTCAGCGATCTTTTCCTACACAGAGTGAGATGGTACATATTTTCACTTTACGGGCCCCATGATCTCTGTCACAACTACTCACAACTGTACTGTAGCACAAAAGCAGCCATGGACAATAATAAACAAATGAGTATGGCTGTGTCTCAATCAAACTTTATTTTCAAAAACTGAGTTGGCCCCCAACTGTAGTTTGCCACCCCCTGGAGTAGAGATTTTGACCCAGCTATAGAAGGAGGTAAATTATAGATTTTTAAAAAACAGAAAAATATTACCAAAGAAATTGGTACAAAAGCAAATAGAAAAAGCAAAGAAAAAAGGGGAAAATATATATCATATTCTCACTGTAAGCAGACTTCAATCATTTTAGAAAGAAATAGGAATAAACAAGTATTTATTTCTTTTAAAAATATTTTATTTATTTATTCATGAGACAGAGAGAGAGAGAGAGAGAGAGAGAGAGAGAGGCAGAGACAGAGGCAGAAGGAGAAGCAGCCTCCATACAGGGAGTCTGACATGGGACTCGATCCCTGGTCTCCAGGATCACACCCTGGGCTGAAGGCAATGCTAAACCACTGAGCCACCCGGGCTGCCCCGAAATCTTTATTTCTTAATCAATATATAAAACATTGACATTCAGCCCACAGCCTTCTTTCCTTCGGAAACACAGAGATTCCAGAGGCCTTCGTTGTCACCAGGGCTTGGGCAGAACAAGCCTTTTTAGTGAGACCACAGGCTGCAGTAAGAACAGCAACGTGGGAGGGAGGGCTACTAAGAAGCATTTTCGCCAAGCTGGTGGGATTAAATTGTGCTAACAGATAAAATTGCCACTGTAGTTTTTCGTGATTGTGGTTAAGACACAAAGGGCAATGCACACACTCCCTCCCTTTCCTACCACAATTCTCTCGCAATCAGGATTTGAAGACAATCAGATACAAGCTCTTATGTGGGCAAGAACAATAACCCCTGTGTTATTTACATAGACTCTCATCCCTGACATCCAGGTTCATCAGGATTCAAAGCACAAACAACAAAAGTCAAGTGGCCCAGAGGGATTTCCAGTAGTTTGGCTTGTACCAGACCAACAAACCTCACTCCTTGTGCTCCTAAGCCACCATAGGCGCATAACACATGCTTAAATGCCAGACCCTGGGGTGCCTCCTGCCTGTTATAATCTATATTTGGGGCTGCTAGCCCACCACGTCCCTTCAAGTGTCAATGTTGGCACATCCAAGGCTGGCTCCAGATAAAGCAAAAAACTTGGAGTGCCTCCTTCTCCCCATTGTCACGGACAGAACCAGAGCTG